TTCTATGATTCTATACCATTGTCATGAAAGTGATAGAAGTCGGTGAGTTTAGCAAGGGAAAACATTTGGCAAAACCTCCTGGCTTTCTATGCCCTCTCTGTAGCAATTATCAGTTGCTGCAGACATCAAGTTAATTGGTCAAATGGGAGACCTTTTCTATAGAGGGGAAAACTCCCATTCCAGTGTACCTGGTCATACTTGAACTTTGAATACCTCGTAAGTAGCTCATCATTCCTCCAGTTGGTGACTAAATCCTATTGTCAGAAAGCAGATGGCTACTGCTTCACTTTGGCTGTTGGAGCCATGCAAGGTGGGATTTTCAAAGATACCTGAAAGATTTAGGAGTAGAAAGTCCCCCTGAAAGGAGAGAAAGAGAGGAATATTACGTGGACCTATGTGAGGGGGAAAAGGTGGCCATTACGTTTAACTCCCTCCCATGAAAATGGGTGTTCTAGTGAAATTAAAGCAAGCAGCAGTGGATCTGCAGGGAGCAGCTGCGTCAGACTCCGAAGAAGGAAAAGTTTTGCAGGTCCCCTTTAAACCGGTTCCATGTCACTGCATCAAAATGGCTTTGCTTGTCATGCCAAGGGAAAGGCACCAACCTGGGAGTCAAGAGCCCTGGCTCCCAGTTCTACGGCTGAACCCTCCGCGATGTCTCCACCCCAAATGGAAACCTGCGGCCGCGAGTCTCAGAGCCTGGGTCTATGGACTCAGTATTGTGCGACCGTGCTAAAAATAGCAGTGTAAAGGTTTAGGCTCAGAATAGCTTCACAGCTGTTTTTAGCGCTGTCGCACGAGCCCCAGGCTGTAGTTCCAGGCTCTGAAATGCTGCAGGTTTCTGCTGGCCATGTAGAGGTACTCTGTGTGAGTCACTGAGAGGGAGTGTACTCCTGTGGCCAGTAGACTCTGAAGATGTGGGTTCCATTCTTCCTTCTGTCGCAGACTCCCTGCGTGACCTTGGGCAATCACTTAAAGCTCCGTGCCTCAGTTTCCCTCCTGGAGATGTGCGTGTAAGCTCTTTGGGACATAAGAACATAAGACTGGTCAGACTGGAGCAGACCACCGGTCCATCTAGCCCAGTATCCTGTCTTCTGACAGGGGCCAGTGCTAGATGCTTCAGAGGCTGTGAACAGAACAGGGTGATTTATTGAGTGATCTAACCCCTGTTGTCCAGTTCCAGCTTCTAGCAGTTAGAGGTTTAGGGACACCCAGAGCATAGGGCTGCATCCCTGACTATCTTGGCTAATAGCCACTGATGGACATATCCTCCATGAACTTAGCTAATTCTGTAAAAAGCAACAGAGGGTCCTGTGGCACCTTTAAGACTAACAGAAGTATTGGGAGCATAAGCTTTCGTGGGTAAGAACCTCACTTCCTCAGATGCAAGTAATGGAAATCTCCAGAGGCAGGTATAAATCAGTATGGAGATAACGAGGGCTCCTCTCCAGTTAGCTAATTCTGTATCGCATGATGTGCTTGAGCAGCCTTTAGTGCAATGGGGCCTTGTTCTCAGTTGGTGCCTCTAGGTCCTACTTTAATAATTATATATCTCACCCTTCCCCAGGGCTCAGTGCATGTGTGTAGGAGCTAAGAACCCATTTACCATTTCATAGGCAGAAAGCAAGACCACATCCCCAGTTAAATAGCCCGTCCCCCCTGGCTCTGGGAAGGCAACCAGGGGCTGTCCTGGGGCTTGCCTCATCATCACTGTCTCTCTACAGCCAGCCATGCAAACACACAGCAAGCCCCATGTTCAAAGGTGATACCTTAACAGGGCAGCTCAGGCCTCCATTGGGATGCCCTGAACGGCACCAGACATACTGCAGTGATGACCGGGGTTTATAAGTGAGCCCCACAACGTGACTGTCTGAGCCATAACAAAATCAGCCCCAAACGGGCTGTCCTATTTCCTCGCTCCTGCCTGTGCCTCTGCCCAGCCAGGGCCCAGAGCTGCAAATATTAGCAGCAACACATCCATTTAGCTCGGCCTCCTCTGAACCAGCTGCAGCCTGGCGCTTGGTCTGTTTGAAACAGCGGGTGGCAAAGCAACTCTTCCTGGAGGTAAATGACTACTGCTAGCTCGGCTGCGGGCTGAGCCCCTTTGTGTACAGTCAGATCCTTAGGAACCTGGGGGGCTCCTCCCCAGTGTGAACCTTTGCTCTCCACCCCCACCCCTCCTTCTCATTTTTTTTAAACTCTGCTGTCGTCCTTGATGGAAAGCGATAGCTCAGTTTGATCAGGCATCCTCACTCTGTCCTGGGCATGGCTCCCTGTCCTCCGGCGGGGAGAGGAGGGAAATACTGTGGGGGTTGGGGAACGAGATCTGGGCTAGTCCTTGTCTCTGCCATTACAGCCACCTTGCCTGCCTCCCTCACTGCCGCAGCATCTGCGGCTCAGGCTCTCCCTCCCCTGCAGTCCAAACAGGCAGCCGGTGCCCCTGCCTCCGCCACATCCACCATGCTGGATATTTTCATCTTAATGTTTTTTGCCATCATCGGCCTGGTGATCCTCTCCTACATCATCTACCTGCTCTAGGAGCCCCAACAGCAGTGCAGGGGAAGGATGAAAGACAGCAGCCAGCCATCCTGCCAATCAAAGCCTCGTCCAGGTGAGGATTTGCTCCAAACCATTTTAATTGCTGGGGAATAAGCTGATGGTTAGTTTTGTTTGCAATGCTCTTGTTTTCAGCCAGCGCGCTCCCAGGCTTTCTGACCCAGACATGCTGCTGGCATCACAACAGCCGTTTCCTGCACAGTAGCTCATGTGGGGGGAGAGAGAGAGACACCTTTTTGTTTAATCAAGCTGCTTAGAACAGTTAAATATATATAATCTATTATATTTTTCCTCCAGCTCTATCTATCAGTTACTCCCAAGCAAATCAAGGGCTTTCTGCTGCCTTTAATAACCATGCTGTGTGCGCCAGCGATTTCTGGTCCCACTGAGAAAGAAGTAAAATATAACGTTAGTTATAGATAAAATAAGTGAGTCTGGTCGCATGCTTTGAATGGAGGCAGATGGGTGTTTTGCAATATCTGGCGCTCTCGCTCATCATTTTAGCAACAGCTCCCACATTCCCACTTCGCTGCCCAGTTGATAAAAAAGCTGATGCCTTTTGTCACTTGTGTTTATATACGTGCAGTTTTCCCATCCTTAAACCTGTTTGGGGTTTCTGCAGCTCTCAGGCCTGGGTCAGACAAGTGTCACCTTATCCTCAGCAGCGGCAGCAGCAATGCCAGAGCCATCAGGAGAAAGAGTTAACTCTTTGCAAGCAACCCGCTTCCCGAGCAGCTGGCGAGAGGAAAACCAGCCATTGGACAGTGCAGATGTCAAGACTTATAAACGCCCTTGACAGAATGTCTGAGCTGTAATGCATTTGAAGAGCAAATACAAAGCAACCTGGCCTCAAGAATGGACAGAGAGAGAGAGGGAGCGATAATGAAACCTCACTATGGAGAAGTGTGTTGTTTTGTTTGCCATGCTGGTATTAAGGAAATTTAACTGTTCATTGTTCTGTGGCCACATAGATATCCCCCCTCCTTGGGAAAAGTACCTGCTGTTTTTTAGTTTTAGAAAGTATATATATATTTTAATTAAAAAAAAAAAGCTAAGAAAACAACACAAAATGAGAGCAAAATCTGAATATCACAATAGTATCTTATTCAGACACGTCACCTTTCATTTTCACTGATCACCCACTGCTTATCACTGGGTATTGCTAAAATGCAGCTACTTCTGGGGTGGAGGGTGGCAACTAGCTAGAACACTTCGGGAATGGGAGCACGAATTTTGGACAAGGACTATAAAGGAAAATCCCTATGCAGAAGAAAGATGCAAGGGACCTTTTGGACCAATTCATCAAGACAGCTGGTGCTGAGCCTGTGTTTGAAAAATGCTTTTAAACACATTTCTGCCACTAATCTGAGTGCCCAGTTTATATGGAGGGGGCAACAACCAGAACACAGATTAGCCTCAGAAATGCTAGTTAGCCAGCAACTCGTACTCCAAGCCTGTTCGGGGAGATGTGAATGATCATAGAATATCAGGGTTGGAAGGGACCTCAGGAGGTCATCTAGTCCAACCCCCTGCTCAAAGCAGGACCAATCCCCATGATACCATGGGCTCATCTGTTTTGAGGGTGGGGGGGCCCCCATAGCTCCAAATAAAGCCACTGGGGGGGGGGTTCTAAACCCCCTCTCAATGCAAGTTGTGTGTCCAAACCGCCTACTGCACCCAGCCAGGAGTTAGATCAATGGGAGGTCAGAGCTTAATTTACTACTGCTTGGAGAGGTTTGAGTGAGAGGCTCTGGGGCCTTTTGGGAATTTTCCCTGTAGGCCAACATGATCCTGAATCAAGCCACTGCCTCTGTGTATTATTTCCAGTCTGCAGGACCAGGAGGGGTCTGGAGTGGGGAATGGGTGGGAAAGAGAAAAGAGGCCAAAACACCAGGGACAAGATTTTAAAAAGCAGCCACTCTTGGTGCCCATCTAGGACCATCTGGACAGTCCATATTCGTGGCCATTTCCACAAAGCTCGGCCCATTCCCAGTGCTTGAATTATAAGAAAAAATGCCCATAGGCCCTTTCCTTTTGTTGACTCAGTAGCAGTGAGCAGTGCAGGCATACCATATCCACCTGAGCACTGGCCTGAGCCCTGCAGTCACGTTTAATTCTTCCTCACCCTCCAGACTGCTAGTCCACACACTGGATTATAACAGACACTTTGTGTTTTGGACAAATGCAAAGAGTTTTCTGGAGTTAAAAATGGAATGCAAACCAACAACATGAAAGACTTAGTCATCCACTACTGTGTAATAAGCATCACATGTAAGGTTTATTTCAGATTGTATTTTATAATGAAAACAACCCTCCTAGAAGGTAAGATTTTTCTATGGCTGGTCTCCCCCTGCAGTTAATTCTTGCTGGGAAGCAATACACTCCTGGAAATAGAAGTTTTGTAATGGAAAAAAGCTTGATGCATCCTTAAGTCACGTGACACCATTATAATTAGGAGGAAATTTACTCTGAATTGTAGTGTTTGTGGCTTATATAAGCACTTTTGGGGTACAAGTGGCAAGAATTACTTGATATCTGTTGATAGGACTTTCTACAAAAAAATGTTAACCATAATTCCCATCTTTATGTAATCATTGCCAGCTGAGTACTTGACATAGTACAATTTCCTGTCAGTACAAAGTTTCCCGAGGGAGAAGTACAGTGCGTATATCTTTGCCTGTGGATCCAAATTGATGTTCTCCAGTGCATCTGCTTCAGCCCAAACTGCATTACACAGCATGCCACTGCCAGGACTCAATTGTGAGTCACAGTTAGGGCTTTAAAAAGGGTGAGACACCCAAAATGAGGAACCTAACCCTTTTCTCCTCCCCCACAAAGCAGTTAAAATGGAAACTCTAAATGTTATGGGAAGCAACTCTTGAATATAAATAAAATGTTCAATAACCTCAGTTTCATGAGTCTGTATATCTGATGTCAACAATCTAAAGTGATAAAGACAGAGAGAGCAGCAAGGAATGTGTGGAATGGTGCCTCAGCTGGGTGTAAAACCAGGGACACTAATTATATCCTTCCATAAATGCTTTCTTTCCCCAAAGGATTTCAGCAACCTAACCAACTATGCATAACAATCACTTTAGCCATATCCCAAATGCAACTAATTCAGCAGTGGAATGTGGCAGCTGTTTAACAAGGCAGGGCCAACACCACACAACAGCTGAAGATGGGAAATGACGAATCCCTTATCCAATTGAAACTGCAGGGGGAGTTTTATGTAGGAGAAATCTAATTGCCCGGGATGAAATTTAGCCATGATATCAGGACTAATATCCCTACTCTTTCAAGAACTACTAGGTGGTCTTTAGTGATAAGAAGTGTTGTCTTTTCCTATACAAACAGATTCAGGGTGAACTCTTGATTGCATTGTAGTTAATGGGAATTTTGCCATTGACTTCAATGGGGCCAAGATTTCACCGAGCATTTCTAGGAGCTCAGTGCCCCTTTAACATCATAGGGAACACCAGTTCAGTACTAACTCAGAAGAAAAAGTGCCAACTCCTGAATTGTCATCATCACCAATTCCTTTAGCACACTGGGTTTTCCTCAGTCTCCCATTTGATCATTGACTTAATCAGTGTAATAATGCCCCTTCCCCTACTCTGTGTCTGTCTTGTCTATTTAGATTGTAAATTCTCTGGGGCAGGGCCACCTACTGCTATGTGTTTGTACAGTGCCTAGTACAATAGGGCCCATTCTTGGTAGGCCTGAAGGCACTACCCTAATAAACATGGTTAATAATAATAAATTTGGGAGATCTAATGGGATTCTGACACAAGACTGTCTGGCTACAAAGCTGGCTGTGCTGGACTGTTTTTCAGTTTAAACAAACCTATTTGGGAAGTCCTGTTTGAGGACAAAAGGTGTGAACTTCAGTTGTTTGCAAAGGAAAATCTCCTTCCGTAAGGAAGGGCTGGAGCACCAAGAAATTGAAACTAATGCCAAACACTCGCTGAGCTATTGTATCTATTAAAAAGCAGCCACTAATCATCATAATGCCGGGAACACTGTAACATTTCAAGCTGGCACACCCATAAACTTAAAGTCCTTGAAGATTTGCTAAGAGAGTGGACTAATATTGGTGAAGTCAGTATTTCTTATCATATGTTGCTGCTATTAAATCTAAGGGCCCCATTTTCTTGCATAGCTGCATTCTTATGCCATTCTTTGTGATTTGCTGCAATTTTTATTGCTGTTGTGTCTTCACTTAGGGGTCTGGTTCACTCATGGGTCTCTAGAATTGGCATATACTGATGTAAGACCTACAACATGTTTGTGTTGTCTCATTTATAATTGCATCTTTTCCACTATGCTACAGCACAAAGCATCACAATGACTTTACAGATCCTTCCCATTATTCTGTATTTTATTTTAAAATAGGTCAATAATTATTACACATAAAAGTGAGATTCAGAACAAAAATGTTTTAAAATATTGTTTAAAATCCAGAACATGGATTTTAAAAACAATATTAACAAACCAGTATGTTTCATATTTTGTTTTTAAATGAATGGTTTCATCTCTGATATCTATTGGTGCACAATTAAGTTTCTAGGTGAATGTTAGCAAAAAATTTGCCTTCCACTCCAATCCATACATGCAGCCAAATTCTATCCTTGGATATGTTTAAAAAAATAAAAAGGATCTTTTTAAATAGAAAACATCAGGAGTTGTTATCAGCTCATTACCATTGAAATCAATTAGGTGCAGATTTTCAGCTGTGTTAATTGTCAGCTTCCACAATTTATGCCAGCTGCGGATCTGCCTCTTGGAGATGAACAGCTGTCTCAAATGGCAAAATTTGGCACATATTTAAATAATTTGGAAATATTTCAGATGGGGGAAAAAGGTATTTTAATAATATGAAGAAAATAACCATCATGTAAATAATCCAAAATGAAATAATTACTGTTAGCACATATTAAATATTTTCAATTTTTAAAGCTATGTACCATAAATATAAAACTTTTTGTAAATAGGATACTTATCTGTGTACTTCAATAAAAAACAGTGATCTTAGAATGTCTACATGCATTAAACATCCTTCAACTTTGCAGAGTTCCAGAGACATATATAATTTTTTTTAACTGTCCAGTTATTATATTTAGCACAAAGGTACATTTTGAAGTTTCTTCTGCTTTATGGCTGAAAGGCATGTGCTGTAAAAAAACTAAATTTTTGCCTTCCTTAAAAAACTAGGACGCTTTCCAGAGACTGTCTCCTTCTGTGCTGAAACTTAATGCACAATCCATGCAGGATATCTAGTTCTGAAGCTAAGAATGTAAGAGTGAATTATAGACACCCAGGTGTGAGCTGAACTGGAGAAACCTGGCCATGCCTTTCTCATTACATTGGTTTTGTCTTAATGGATTCCAAAGAGAAAACAACATTAAAAGAGCAAAATATTTTCTGTTCTGAACTAAGATAACATTCTTTAATTTGTGGATGTACATCAAATATTAACACCATGTCATTTTTATTTTGTATCCAAACCTACACAGTGGGAGAAGAATGCAGTGTGTATTCCCGCCCCTAACAGCCAAACCATGGAATGCCACAGTTAGGCTCCTCAGCACATCCTGACATACAGGCTTAGACAAGTTTATGGCACAGACTGTGCTGTAGTTTCTTAGAGATGCCTCAATATGTCTTCATAGATTTAAGTAATTCTTCTGCTTTGCATTTCACTAGCATCTCCAGTCAGCCTCCTGCTGCTTCTGCAAAGGTTATACCTCCAGATTTAATTGGTTATTATATTTTCTATTTTTGTAGCTGCTAAAACTTTGCAAGCAGCTGCTGGAGAGTGAATTTAAAAGGTAGGTGGACACTGTTTTTTATGTGTGAGAAAATAAATGGAGAAAAAGGCCACCTATCTGAATCACTGTAGTATTCTCTAAAAGCCTGAGATTCGAAGTATTTAGGTAGAGGTGCTTCTCATGGTCAGATACAGAATTTCCTTATGGAAGTTAGCTTGTGCATTCACGAGGTGGAACAAATTCAAAAAGCTGCTGTCTTCTTCATCACGATCTCCTAAGCACCAGAAGGGAAACATTAAAAATAGCTAATGAAAATAAAGGGCTCATTTGTAGGGAGAAGATCTCAGAAACTACTTAGTATCTTAGCAGAGGCCAAGTATGACCCAGGTACCTCTTGACACCAACTGGCAGAGGGCAGGGGATAGAGTTTAACAGGGATCCCCTATGTCAGATGCACACAATAATTCACCAAAGCACAGCATGCAAGGTCACTACCAAAAGCTAGTAGCCCATTGGTCATCATAATTGTTGTGAAATATATACACTGACAATATTTGAGAAGTTATGTCTCTATACTGAAAAATATGTTCTTAAAGCCTTGGAGTTAAAGGCAGGTCACCAGGAGGTGACATGCCTCAGTCAGGTTGTTTTCAGGAAGGTGGTAGCAGATGCTTATTTCTGTCTGGTCATTGTATATTGTGTCTCTCTCAATGTAAGTCATTTGCACACTGAGCCATTGGCTAATCAAGATTGCAAAATTGATAAGAGATCAGAAAATCTGCAAGAAAGGAGTATACAGGAAAAAACAACTAGCAGGGGGCATCCCATTTATGAATGAAGACAAAGGAAGGGACTTGTATATCTGGGGAATCAAAACAAAACACTTGTATCCTTTACCTCGGGGGCAATGTGTCTTGTTTTATGAAAAAGGGATCACAGCCTGCCTGGCTAGAAAGCGTTGATGAGCAATACTTTATCAGCCATGAGAGTATTTTGTTAAACAAGTCTACGTTCTAGGATTCATGTTTTCATTATATATGTAACCATTTGTGTCCAATACTTTTACTTGCTATCATTTGAGACTCTTTTCTTTGTTAAATAAACTTCTGCTTGTTTTCACTATGAACATATACAAGCGCTGTGTGTCAAATGGAGCAGTGATCTGAGGTGAAACTGATAAGTTGGAGTGTTCTGCTTCTTTGGGAGCAGTGAATGTATGAATCCTGAGTGTCCAGTGAAACAGGGGCTTGACACTCCAAGATGATCAGAGCACTCAGGGGCTGGGGCATGCCTATTGCTAACCTGCGGAGGGGCAGCAGAGCCTGCTTAGGCTGAGATGCGAGTACTTAGTTGTGCTACTCTGATTTTGAATGGAAGGACAGACCAAAAGGACTCCAGGTACCAAAATACAATGCTCCAGCTTGTTCCAGGTAGTTTTCTATTGGGATTAAGAAGGAACACTGCACACGGGGTCTACTAGAGTCTGAGTCCTTGTTGTCCTGTGCTTTGTGTCATCCTTCCAGTGATTCTCAACCAGGGGTCTGGGGCCCCCTGGGGGGCCATGAGCATGTTTCAGAGGGTCTGCCAAACAGGACCAGTATTAGACTCGCTGGGGCAGAAAGCCTAAGCCCTGCCGCACAGGGCTGAAGTCTGGGGCTCTGAGCCCCGCCACCCAGAGCTGAAGCAGAAGCCTGAGCAACTTAGCTTTGTGGAGTGCCCTGTGGTGTAGGCCCCAGGCAATTGCCCTGGTTGCTACCCCTTAATGCCAGCCCTGGCTTTTATATGCAGAAAACAGTTGTTGTGGCACAGGTAGGCAGTGGAGTTTTTATAGCATGTTGTGGGGGCCTCCGGGAAAAAAAAAAAAGGTTGAGAATGCTTGCTTTACACCCATGTGGAGTGAGTGCAGAGCTGGGTGTAAAACGCTACTATGTCAGAACAGTGCAAAATGAATGTAAAATACTACCATCCCTGGATGAGGGGCAGGGCAACTGAGAATCAGGACCATAGTGTCTTCAAACCTGTATCTTGCAGAAGGAAAGGGTATCTGCAATTAGTCAGAATTTATGCAAATTAGGTGCTTCTTATAATCTGACAAGATAAAAGTGTGTCCATCCTTTGGGCAAAGTTTGGGCACCTCTGATTTAAATGGGTCAAATAAGTGATA